CACTGAACCTTAAATACTCACCCTCTCCAATCACTCCCTACAGATCCCGCCTCCACACCTCCCTTCCTGCAATCCCATTGGTTGGCACAAGGCCTACCAATTACTCTGCAATCAAGCCTTCATGGACACCACCTGTGAACCACAAGACACAGCACAGCACAGCTGATACACATTTCAACTACTACCTTGCCCCATCCATGTACTCACATGTGTCCCTCTCCAATAAATACTTACCACAACACCACTGCTTCATTTCTTCTCTTACTTTCTTCTTCCTCCCAAACACCTCACACTCTGCTCCCACCACATCAGCCTACTACTTATCCATTCAACCACTAGTCCAACACTTTACACCCAAAAGGGCCCAACACAACCTTCTCCACTTACAGCCACACCACGTCCACTCTAACAATGACACACAGACAACATTCACTTCACCTACAACGCTAATATCTCCCTATTTCCCCCCCATTACTATTTGCCTATCACCTGCAACTCTAACAGTCCAATCACTGTGCTCCATACAACAGCAAGTCACACCGACATGTCTTGGCTGCACACAGCACAGACCAGGACCCACCACCACCACCACCACCACCACATTCACTTCATATCTATAGAGTACCAATACACAACCTTCATGTACACAGAACTGGGCTCACCTTCAACATTGTCTTCTCCATTTCATTTACACTCCTACTGCGTGTCACCATCCACTACATCACCTCTTTACTTTTTTTCTATTTGCCCCCTCCAACATCACCATCCATTTATTCTACTACCCCAACCACTTCCTCTTCCCTGCATCCCTAGCACACACACACAAACACAGTACAAACACACCAGCTACAGACCCACATCAAGGTTCTCACTTCTCACTGTTCTTTACCTTCACACCACTGGGTCTACTCCTTTCACACACTTACCTGTTTCCCTACTATTACACCACATCACATACACACTTACCGACTCCTACAACATCCAGGACTCCATCCTCTACCACTGTTTCCTACTCCTTCTCAAACAACAACAACATACTGTTACACTTTAATATGTACATACTGCCATATTCTTTGTTAGTCTGTCTCTGCTACATGGCTTTGCTACATTCCCTATCTTTGCAAAAACCCAATCATTCATTCCACAACCTACATCCCACCCACACTTACCTCTGCCCCACCTTGGACAGCTACACAACACCACTACTACTTCACACACTCACACATTCTCTGCCACATCTCACGTCTGCTGCCATCCAGTGGCATACACACACACGCAACACAGTCCATCACTTTCACAGCATCACTCCACCGTACCTTGGACCGCTGTGTGGCAGCTCCAACTCAGTCCAGCTCTCGTCCAACACGTCGCTTCTTCAACCTGTTGAACACATATTGTACACGTCATTTCCACCACCAACTCACTCATTCACATCTCATGCCAACAACTTATAAACACAAATTACACTACCAATAATGCTCACATCACATTAACAAACCCCATTCATGAAGGACCTCCAACCACCACACGCCAACTTCTGTTCCCCACCACGCACACCCAAACATTACCACTTGCCTTACATGCTACCCCCCTACATACAACCTTTAACCCTTCCACTACAACACTCATACAACCATCCTCTTTATCTACATTGTATCCCCCAACATCCAACCACTACCACAACATCACACACACACACACACACATTCTCATATACTTCCATACATACATAAATGCTTTTTGCTCCTTTCCCATGGACACCTAACATTCCATCTATATGACTACAGCTAAACACCACTGCTGTTGTGGAACTAACAACACTCGTATTCCTTACTTCACCCAACTCCTTTCCACAGGTCCCCCTGTAACCCCTTTCAAATACCAACTGCAACCATATACTGATAACTCCGTCACACATTTTCCATCCACTCACTTTTTTCATGCCACTGCAGCTACTCACATCATACCTATGTCAATACTGTCATCTTTACTACATTAATAATTACTACACCATCACATTGGACAGTATACGTCACTGTTTTTTTTTCTCTCCAACCTCCTACAACTACTCCTTCACACTTCTGAACTTTAGCCACTTGTCCATAACTCTTTGTGTTACCTACCTATTCACACATTCAATCCTCACCACCACCACCACAACAACAACAACAACAACATCCCGCGTCTCTCTGCTGAAAACGTTCAGCACCCCTGCGCTAACACGTCACCCACACCGGATCTCGGGAACCTCCACATTGACATGTTATTGTGCACAAATCCAAACCACCACTCGTTATTACCATGTTCATCTTGCTCTGGAAACTAATACTGAAACACCACCTCCTTTTCTAACTTTTTTTTTTACCCCACTTCTACATCTTGCTCCCTTTCTCACACATTTTCACTCATACTTCAGTCAAACTGCACATCTCACTGACAACAACACAGTTGCATCACTTCATTGAACACCCTTCACACTTTGTACAATATCTTGGCTGCATTTAATGGTTTCAAACACTACATGTTCAGCAACAAATCACAACATGAAAACACAGTTTGGTTTTAACATGTGCCAATACAACTCAATCCTCCTTTCACAGGAAACACCAACACTGTCATTCACAACTGATTGCTAACTTGTAACTTTACATAGTGAAACAAACTACATCTGACAACAAAGAGGATTCCACCCCCTCTGCTTCTTCACATGTCATTACAGAACGGTTGAAATAAAAGCAAAGCGTGCGTGACATCCTTCAGAGAACACAACACTAGAACCACTGCCACTACATAGCTCTGACAGACAGTCCAGAAGGAAACCCAACAGTCAGATCTGTGACATAAACATTTGCCTTCACAGTGTTTCTGACTGTCCAATCTCACCCACACCTAAACTGGAGCCTCAACATACACCATATTACCAAAACTATTGGCTCACCTGCCTTGACTCATACTATCAACTCAAGTGCCATCCCATTCCATGAAGCTCTCTGCGTACTGTACTTGAGCTAATCTGAAGGTCACATGAAGTTTGTAGCTCTGCAGCAATTGGACTGCACAGAAAGTCCTATACACCTGTGGCCAGGCCAACGGATTAGGACACCTGATTCTGATCATTTGAATGGGTGAGCGAATACTTTTGGTAATATAGTGCACCTTCAAACAACTACTGCTTTGGATTCTTCACTGACAACACTCCTAACTGTAGCTCCGTGACAGCACACATTAACTTTCTCCATTTATAGACAGATTTCACACAAACAATTACCTTGCAAATACACTAATCTTCAGGCCTCTCCCAACACTAACATCAGCCACAACTTCCCTGTTGTTACCCTAAACATCTCACTTAGCTTCTTGCCTTTTACTTTGCTCACCTCACCCACAACTCCTTTTTCAACCCTACCTCCTTCACAGTATACAGACTGCTTGGGGAGTTTCCTCGTCCCACCAACTGATCCTGGCGACTCCAAACTGCTGCCACTGATAACAAATACTGCTTCATGACAAAATGCAACTTCTGCCATCACAACTACATTGCCCAAAACAGGACTTCAAACCATCTTCCCAGTAACAAGAACAAACCCACAAATTTCTACAAATACATCTGCAAGTGAACCTCAAGCTGCATACCTACCCATTTCAACAGTTCAGGATTCTTCACCTTCATAAAAACTTCTTCAACACATTTCTCAAACCTTCTCTCTGCCTGACATTTGACATTAGTCACAATAACAACATCAATCAAATTAGCCTCATTAGCCTACACAGTCCATTGTCATTTCTAACACAACATCCATCACCTCTCCACTGCCGCTCCATGAAGACGGACCAAACCCACAGCTGTGTCTCCTCCACCCACACATTTAACGTTTACAGTTAACATGTAGGTTCAACTACTATCTTCCTGTCTAACATTCAGTGCATCACACCACAGATCCTGCATCATCTGTGTACCCACCTACAACCACTAACTAACACCTCACTGACAGTTGCCATGACCTCAGTTCAACTGTTGTTTTTTTCCAGGCCACTTTGAGTTGGATTTACATTCACACCATCACTATATACCCCTGCCTCACTTTTTCACTGCAATGTTACTTTGTTACACTGCTTCACCCTGATTGGTTGTTTGACCATCACAAATCTCCAGCTCTAATCTCACCATCTAATCTCTGTCCTACCTTTTCAAACCAGCTATCACTACTTAATGTAATATGCAAGTTTTGTGCAAAGGATACTGTTCACCTTTTTCACCGGCTGGAGGCGTGGCACTGACCGACAGTGAAGCTACAGTTCTGACCTCTCTACAACTTCCATCCATCCTGGGCTCCAGCTTTTACCTTGTCACAACCTAAAACAGTGTTGG